ACGGCTATTGTTATGAAAATTTCTTTGAACCGTGGCTCAGTGGGGGAAAAAGTGGGCTTCGAAGACACTGAGTCAAGCCCCCTGAGGATGGTTAGTACCAGGATGGGCGGCCTAAACATTATACCTACAAAATATTTTTGATCATGATTTTTTTCTTGGTTTTTTTTTCTTGKTTTTTTTTTCCGACTTGAAAATAATAGAATAGTTATCTAATTTTCAAGTTTATCTAAAAAGATAGATCCTTTTGATTTGAATACGATTAATTAATTACATTCCACTGATATAAATCGTCAAAAATTAAAAGGCATTTATCAGGATGGTAAAGGGTTATTTCGTGAAATGCGTAATTTGACCGTTTTAATTTTCGTGAAACGTGATTCATATCGACACTCCCTTAACTGCTTTAGAAAATTTAAGAGTGTAAAGCAATTTTGAAGGACGTTTTGAGCTTGTATATATAAGCCTGTCTTACCTTTTTGAATGAAGCATTTAGATTTGGCAGAAACTCAGCGCCTCGCTACTAAAAAATACAAAAATTCATATGTAACTCTCTGCATCTTCAAGCAAACCGCGTGATGTCTACAACATATAGTTCCATAGCATTCTCGAACTCGAACTAGAATCCGACGGAATTAGAATTTGGATTTCTAGATAAATATTTTTTATAATATTAATTTTATGACATAAGTTTTTAATTCAAAATTCTTGGGGTGCATGTTACGTCATAGCCGCCATATTGGTGGACTATGCGAAGCATTTGAAGCTTCTCTATTGTTAGATTAACCAACATGACGGCAGTTTCATTGTTATATATTCCGGAAGGGATTTTTGGGTCACGTGGTTTCACTCTAAGAAAAGCTTTTGATGCCCCACCTTAGTAGCTCCATCACTGTTACTTTAGAAACTTAGCATTTTATCTTTACTTCGCCTTTAGATTTTTAAAGACTCAGGTAATCTGCCCCACCATGGTATTCCAGTGTACCTTGCCCCTAGGTTCTTGTTTAAATTTAATATGATATTTGATGTTTTTTCCTTTAATTTTTCCATTTTAAAGGACACACAAGTATCTTTATGGACCATGCCCCACGTTTATGTTTAAATGTAACATGATGTTTGATGTTGTTCCCCATGTTTCTTTCCCTTTTTTTAGCTGAAGGACACACATTCATTACTATGCTCTCAGTTTGGTAGTGAGTTCGCTTACAGCTGCTATGGGTCGTTCCTTCGCGCATTCATCGCAGGATGGGAAAACGATGAGAAACTAAGGGCATACAATGCGATAAAAGGTATCCCGGCAATCGATAATCAAGTCTTTTAATTTTAACTGAAGGTAACAGAAAATAACTTTCTAAAGATTGCTAATAAGTATTTATAACAGCGACACAATTTGATGGTCAAGTTTTATATTTTTGCAATTCTCGACTTTCATATCCCCATAATGCCTTGCGTTTTTGGGGGGTAACCAATCAAAAAACTGTCCCAAATTGAAAAGTTTCTTAATTGAATTTATACTATACCTGCTTTTATCTGTACAATGCTGATTATCAGTTTATTCCAAGTTATTTTTGCGTGTGCAGATCACCAAGAGTTTTGGTCTTACAGAAAATGCATTGACTTACGAAAAAATGTTTAAAATTTACCTTAAACGTCTTCAAGCTTCTATCTTTTTCTGTTTTTTACTTCTTCATTTTATCTTTGGATATCAAACAARGTATTTCAAACATTGTCTGATCAGCCTTCAGCAAAATAAGTGGGTTTTACCCTCTGGTTATCCCCCAAAGACGCAAAGGATTATGGGGATGTGAAAGTAGAGAATGTCGGGTATGTTTTTATTTTTCGCCAACCAATTTTTCTTTTTCAAGGCAGTGAAAGTCATTTCCACTTCGCTATCTCAGATCAGAACATCTTTCAAAATTTCTATTCCAATTTTCATTTAGTCAGTATATTTAACAATTAGACATCAGCTTTTTATGTGCCTGTCCTTTTATTGACGATAAATTGCGTCATCACATTATCAAAGTAGTGTGGATCCACGAGGCGTAGCCGAGGCAATAGAGGTGTATCTCTGATATCTCAGTGCTATCATGATTCGCTTTATTAACAACAGGTGCCTCATGTTTGGACGAGAGAATAGAGAAAGTGCTCAATTCGTCTCCCGGTACCTACCCTTGGTTTGAAAAGTACATTCGGGTGTTCTGTCGTGAGATTTTCCTGAACAAAGCCCTTGATGACCAAGATAGGGGGTTCTGGTTGTCGACTATATTGAAGCCATGGCCACTTGTCTTTCAAGCAAGACTTCTGTACATTTTGTACGGACCTTTCTATCGTGATACAGGTATATATATGTGGTCAAAAGAAGTTCATTTAGCCTGTCCTGGGTGGTAATTTCTGTCATCCATTTAGATTACTCGGGTACAAAAAAAAAGTAGTAGCACTTAATAGCCAATGGCTAACAAACCTGTGGCCCTCATTCCGTGATCGAATTGGAATTTAGGAGTTGATTTTTGCGGAGGGAGGAAAACCGGAGAACCCGGAAAACCCTCGAAGCACAGGAGAGGACCAACAAATAACTCTACTCATATACAACACCGAACCCGGCGGGACTCGAACTCGGGTCGCATTGATGAGAGGCGAGCGCTCACACCTCTTACCACCCGTGCTTTCCAAGAATTCCCAAGAATGTGACAATCAAGACACACGCTGCAGTGCATCTCTTAAATGAATGCAATAAAAGCACAAAGATCGATTAATTATGGATGGTTGAAATTCCATGTACTTTAGGTCTCATCAACTGGGTAGTCATGTCCACGTGTCCTACATTCTATGGCGTCGACGACATTGAAATAAGAGATCTCGCAGAAGCTTTGACACTGCTGCACAAGGAATGCGAGAAGACCTGGAATGATGATGATATCATAAGCGTCATAGAGGAACTCTCAGGTAAATTTATAGACCCCTTGTAGCACGTCAGAAGGCTGGTCAATTTGGAGTACCTTACAAAACGTTTCCAATTCTCATGAGATTGAAATTCTTTTGGTTTGTCGAGCTGCTTTGACATCACATGTAAGGGGTCTCAGGCCATGGCATAGCTTTTTAATGTAAAGTAAGCGGTTTGCTACATGTATTTTACTGATTGTGTTTTTGTCCGTAATATGGTACATCTTGCGTCAAAATGCGCGACTTATCCCCCCTCTCCTCCCCTTCCTACTCTGGGGCTCTCACCACTGTTCAGTAACGTATGTTTAATTTCGTATTTGCAGTTATAACTAATGACTGGTGTCTAGAGAACACAGCCAAGCTTCTTGTCATGTGCGGCGAAGAAATCACTTACGCAGTTCTGGGAAGCAAAGCTGTAAATGGAAGAGTACACGAATTAGCTTATCTTGGATATTATGTGACGCAGGTAAACATAACTGAAATCAAAGTAAATGGTTTGAACCCAGGTGCTGAAGTTTGGTGTGAAATGTGAACTGAAATCGTTGCCAAAAGTCTTTGCACGATAACATTTATACAAAGATGCAGCATTGAATATCTCAATTGACCTGAAACATTATGTTTTGTAGCTCGCGGGTCGTTATGATATGGGAAGAAGCAAAAGCAAAAAACTAGAATCGTTCATGGGGCTAATCAAGAAAATCCTCACCGCCATGCCAGGATACAAAAATAAAGTATCTTTCACCATGTCGCTATTCAACGTATGGGAAGAGAATATTATTACTCTTACTGAAGCAATACAGGAGGATACAGGTACTGACTGAGCTATGTCTTCTTCCTTACGCATGTAGAGGCGAATCCTGGATAATGTCGAGAGGAGACGGGAGGGTGGGGGTTGCGGTCTCTCTTTAATGAACTTCGCCAAACTATTGCAATACAGGAAGATACAGGTACAAACTAAGCTATATCTTCTTGCTTACGCATGTAGAGGCAGATCCTGGATAATGTCGAGAGGGGAGGGGAGGGGAGAGTGAGGAATACAGTTTTTCTTCTTTCAACTAAGACACAATGTTGTCGCATTTCCTTTTGATTTAAAAATAGCAGCAAGCTCCTTGACTGACGTTCGACAAAAAGAGCAAATGTTTCCTTTTATTATTGTTTTCGTCGCTCTTCTTCACTCCAATTCTTTGCATGTTATGTATATAGCACGCACTAATATAGCTTTTGGGGTATTGAGGCATTTCCTAGTGTGACTGCTCTTCAAAAAAACTTATGAGCAATGTCATAAGCAATAACTCTAAACTCTGTATCGGTGCCATTAAATGTTAGTGATTGTTTGGATCCTTAAAATGGTCTTCATTTGGTGTAATGTTGTTTTTTTTTTGTAGAACGCGAAGGATCACCAGAAGAACAAGAACAAGCACTTATTGAAACAGTCCACAATCTCTCCAAGGTGGCGGCGTTTCTTCTAAAAGAATCCATTGCTAAATGAGTGATTAACCCATACAAATATTGTTACTGACCAATGCAACTACATTTAATGTAGTTTTTTTTAGTAAACTTATGCACTAGTAAATTGAAACCCCCAACCCCAACACCCCCGGGACAGGGCGGGAAATGTAGCATCCATGTAGTGTTAAATTTTTGCACTTTCGCTCCGGTCCCCTGGTAAAGATTTTTTGCTTTCAAAATAGTTAAGTTGTTGAAGTATATACCCGTGCAATGACGCTGTTAAATGCGCGTTAAAAAATCTGCGGTCTTGCCTTGTCAATTCCCCGCCCTGTCCCGGGGGTCGAAGGTAAGGGGTTAATTAAGTAGTGCATTATGCTCGCGTGCAAACTCAGTGACCTATGCAACGTTAACTGTGCAAGAAAAAGCATCACTCTAAAAAAATCATTTGCAAAATATTCTTATTTCTGTAAGAAAGCAGTAAGTCTCTCTTCTCATTTTGTTGCCCGTCAACTGATATTGGATTTGGGCTAGTTTCTCAGTCACCAAAAGAAAATTTCTAAAATCAGTAATAAAGAAAATTTTGGCGATGAAAACATTGACATTTTACAGCGGCGAAATTTGTTGATTGCAGCATAAGTACTAGGTGGCAGCTGAGGTTAAATCCATTAATTATTACAATTCTTATGCAAAAGATAATATGTAAATAGTATTCTAAACTGAACTACAAATTTTACCCGATTTATTTATTGAAGATTTTGAAATATCCAAGACTTGCTAATTTATATGCAATATTTTAAAAGACAATATCATTCATTTATATTTATTAATTTATTGTTGTCTATAAATGTATAATATGGTATTAAATTGAAAAGTTACCATCTTTGATACAGCTTCGACAGTGTTTTATGAGCCAAGGGAAGGCTAAGAAAATTATAATAGCTCTTACAATTTCATTATTTAAGAAAAGAAAGAAAGAAAGAAAGAAAGAAAGAAAGAAAGAAAGAAAGAAAGAAAGAGAGAG